TGCACTGACCTCTTTCTCCAGTGCATCTCCCCGTAGCTCTGTCACGTCATCTCCCGTGGTGTTTGTAATTGCTCAAGTGACCCAGGGCTAAAAATGAATGAGTCAGTGATCTATGCCATTTAGAGTGTGTGCTGGAGACGGACGGACAGAATGGGAGAACTGACGGAGACAAAAATGATGTAGAGCCAGACACAAAAAGAGAGGCGATAAAAGAGCTGTGCAGTGTCCTTAGGCATGTATGTGACCCAGCCACGTCCTGCAGTAGAAAGTCACAGCAGCCACTATTCATCTATCTCAGTGCGCTTAAAGTTTCTTATTTTTAAATGGACCACTGCTTTGCTACAGTAAATTTGAAAGGTTTTTGGCAACAGTCCACCCTCCCTTTTTCCCCCCATGCAACCCAAACTCAAACATGAAACTCCACTCCTGTGAGAAACTTTGCTCCAAATATTCATGTATGCTCTTGTAGCTGCGCACTGTGGATGCCACGCACTCTATAAGGTACTTTTATGTTAGCATGTGTGTCCTCTTCTCTTTTTTTTTCAGTGAATCATCTTCTCACACAGGCCTGATTTTGAGCTTTACGTGTAATAGAGAGACATATATTTATATAAATTAATAGGTTGGAAAAGTGCATTTAATGAAGTTTTTGTTATAAACTTGTGTATAACTATAGCTATTTGGCATTTTAACCCAAATTGACAAACCTATTCCAAGGAAGCTTTCTGACCATGTGCAAAAAAGGAAAGGCCAGTGTAAAACTAGCCTGGACTCTTATTATCTATTCGTCTGTCCCTTATTTTGTCCAAGACAAAATAGTGAGGCAACCTTAAACCTTTCAATGTGGAATAAGACAAGTGTTATCCTTATGATGTTCAGCAGATGGGATGTCTGGAACTCTATTAAAGAGCTTTCTGTCATCAATCTAGTGCTTGCAGATCAAATGTTTATTTCCTTGCCTATTATATACATCTCAGTTCTGGATCACTCCTTTTTGGGTAAACAGAGGATTTTCATTCTCTTAAGCCCTGAGGTAACACAGGGGTTTTCCCCCCTGTTTTTTTTAACAGTAATTCTCATGTATTTACTCATGTGTTGTTGTTGATTGTCACAACATAGTCATAGGGGTGTTGACGTTATTCTGTTCTTCTGTTTTCTGCTTGCTGAACGCAGGAAAAAAGCTATATATTCCCACTATGATGTCATTGCCCGTTCAATACCCCACTAATTCAAGCACATAGATCCATTGTGTCATTCCTGAACAGGGTGTGTCAGTGGAATGACACTGTACACATACCCTCGCATGCTGGGAGAGGGGTTACGTGTCTCTGGTTTTAGGCGCAAATGGGAGTAGACGGTGATGTCAAAGTAGGTGCAATAATGAATCGGTCGTTACGCATATGCTGAGTATTCTCTTTCAACACTTTCACGGTGTCATCTTTGTCCTGTTTGCACACATGAGCCGCACACCCATTAACACTTCACTACAGAGCAGCTGGAGAACGGACCGACTTGTGCAAGGAATGCCAACTTATCAGTCACTTGTGTGAGTATGTGTTTTCACACCTGCAGTGAGGAAAACAGATCGATTACCTGACGTGATAAAAAAAGTGTGTGGAAAAGGGGGTTGTGTGTGTGAGTGAAGATAAAACTGGTTTAGAGTGACACACTTCTAGAAGAGAAGTACTTTGGGAAGGAGATGGGGTGATATGCAAGGCAAGAGCTGCTATAAGAGTTTGAGTAGGCATGTGTTTGTGTGTGTGAGAGAGAAAGATGGATATAGTCATGTACCATGACTGCAAACTACTTTGCAAGGTGACAAGGGCAATACCGTTGCCTTTTCTTGCATAAGGCAGATAGCCAAGCTATCAAATTCCACAATCAAAGCTTGCACTTGTTTATCTTTCTGCCACTCCATGAGATTACAGCGGTGACATTTAACCATTTAATTACTGTAGAAAATATGCCCAGCATGTCCTGTGTATTACCTTGGGTATCTGACCATTTAGATGCGCAGATTACAAAGTAACTGCACTACAAACGTAATCTGCTTTATTGTATTCCTATTTCTATACCATGTATGAAATTCATACATTGGGCATCAAATGGATATCAGTGACACTTGGATTATAACATGTAACAGAGAGAGTGAGTGGGAGAGAGAGACAGCCCATCCATAATGAATGGTCCTAGGAGTGTAAGGCTGATACTTGGACTGTGTCAGCGATATTGCTCTGGGGGAGGAAAATTCAGCATGATGACTTGTTCTTCCTCACAAAGTCCCTCGTGTTCACAAACAAAAACCCAGATTTTGTCATTATAAAGTCATTAGATGTAGCTCTTGGGTCAGTGAGTTGTCTTTTGCTTAGCCCCCTTTTTTTTGTAACCATCAACCCGGCGGCGGGCCTATTTTATAAGCAGTCTTCAAACGACTGTAACACCTTTACCATTTGTGCAAGAGACAAAATGCAAACGGTTTCGGAAAGAAGAGAAAACGAGCTTTGTGAAGATATTTGGTGTATCACGGTAGCCCAAAGCACTCACAAGGCACTGCTGTCTAAACACAGTAAAAAAATCAGCGCTTCCTAGATTTTACTATGTGTTTCAGGTTACCGTAACTCCTCAACCAATTTGGGCTAGAGAGAACATTAAAATGGTTCCTGAAAGATGAGAATTATGACTCTATGATACTTATGAAGGGTTAAGTTGGGAAATAAACTGCAGAAATCGTACAAGATCAATAATTTGTCGTTTTGTAGTGAGAAGGAATGTTTCAGTAATGTTTTAGGGACATGCTTTCTATACTATGCAAGCATGTATTTGTGCACGCTCGAAGTGCTCGCTCTGTTCTTGGCTTCCTGTGCTCTTCCACATGGAAGATGATCGAGTACTGGACACCACTGACAGGTTAAATCTGTGTTAGTTTTATTTCAGAGGATGCTGATAATCAAGAAGATAACAATTATAATGATAGAGATGTCATTCTTATGTGCATTGAGCAGCTTCCTGAGGGGAATCCCCCCTGACCTTTGCATTTACACCAGACAAGATTATGGGACTGCTTAGTAGCTGTAGCAATAAGGCAGATATCCCTGATGATTAGCGTTAGTCATCACCTGGGTGAACAATCACCTAGGAGACTAAGAAGCTCACCATGACGTCCCAGCCGGAAATGGTGTCACTGGTTAAGAAATACCTCTCAGCTATGAGTCAGTGGCGTTATTGGAGCAGGGGTATTCCCAGTGGCTCTCTGTGCAGTCTTTAAACAAAGGTTAATGTCTGTAGTTGTATGTTTGATGGCTCTGTATCGTGCAACATTTGTCGTTTACTGTTAATGATGTGCTAATTAGCCTGCCACCAATCATAATCAGCTACATAATAAATGGATGGCTCATTATAATTGTAATAGATGAAACTCGTGAGTAATTTAATATCAGCCAACAGTCCACAAGTAGCGTGGACCCGTGGGGCTGACATACCTATGGAGTAGACGTGCGTTATGCTTTTTCAAAGCTCATCACCTTGGGTAATGGGGGGAGCGTGTTATCCCTAGAGCTGCTGAAGTCAAATGCAACAGCACGTAAGGGAGAAAAACTGAGGGATTGTGTGACTGTGTGTTGAACTATTTCTTTAAGAGCACATTTTGTGTTGGTGGACAGGGCACATGTAAGAATATAAGATGAATAACAGCATTATGTAAGAATATGCTAATTAGCCATATGCTCATTTTGCTCATGCTAGTTAGCCAAGTGGAGCTAGTAATGACTTGTTAAGGCAAGCTAGTCTCTACAAAGCTAATGTGTAAGGCTCATTCAGATAAAGAGAACAAAAAATGCGTCAGAATTACGCAGTTTATTTTATGTTGATGATCCAATCTTAAATTAAGTGACTGTGATTGGGGTGATAAGATACTTTTATCTCTCCCTTAAATTCGTTGTGAATCATAGACTATAGAAAACAACATGGACATTTTTTGTCTGTCACCAGCTTAGATTTTAAAGTGTGATGTGGATCTGATTGTGAAGAGAACATGTGAGTAACAAAGTAGGCCAGCTCTAATAGGTATGTTGGATTACTACCCTCATGGGCACTAGCAGGTACCATAATATACAAAATGATTATCTTATTCCATTTAATAAGTTTTTACCGTGGTAATTATCCAAGGGGAACATACATTTGTTTTCACATTGACCTTTCTACAGCTGGATTTCTTTTTTTGAGCCACATTATTTGCTTCCCGCTGGCAAATAAACAGAATGCAGGTTGTATGCTTTGCTTTTCAGACCTGGAAGCTAAGCCCTACAAAGACATTTTTAAAAAGAAAAATAAGTCCAGCATGTTATGCACATTAGATTGGGCAGATTAAGAAAAAACTGCACATCAAAATTCTTCTGTTTTATTTTATTCCTATGCCATGTATGCAATTCCTACACTGGACATCACGTGGATATCAGTGACACTTGGATTATAACATATAACAGAGAGAGTGAGTGGGAAAGAGACAGCCCATGCATAATGAATGGTCCCAGGAGTGTAAGGCTGATACTTGGGCTGTGTCAGCGATATTGCTCTGGGGGAGAAAAACTCAGCGTAATGGCTTAGTCTTGCTCACAAAGTCCCCCAACCAGAAATCAAAAAAAATTATTATAAAGGCCTTCTTTTCTGTACGGTCTATGCTAATAATTAAAACCATGTCTGGTATGAACCTAACTATGGATTTGGAGATTTACCAAACCAACCAGTGGACATGAGAGCCTGGTGCTGCAATGAAAAGTCATCAGCATCGCTAACATGTGACTAATGTGTACATAAATCCTGTGTTTTCCGGAAGCATAGATAATTGGGTTTTATTCTGGAAATTTCCCTTCCTTTTTTTCACCATTGAACTTCAGAAATTTTGCTTGAATCTGTCAGTGGTAGAAATCTCACTTTGCAAGATCAAATAACTTTTTTCACATACTGATTCTGATATTTGTTCTTTTCTCTTTATCTAATTACAGTTTCGATGTGGACAATGGCACATCATCAGGTCGAAGCCCCCTGGACCCAATGGCCAGCCCGGGCTCAGGCCTCATCCTGCAGGCCAATTTTGTCCACAGTCAACGGAGAGAGTCATTCCTCTACCGCTCTGACAGCGACTATGACCTCTCACCCAAGTCCATGTCGCGAAACTCCTCCATTGCCAGTGACATGTGAGTAAATGGTATCTTCTGCTTCCATCCCAACTTTCATAAAATTAACAATAATCCTGTTGAATCCTGATAAATGTCTTCTTCTTCAGCTTGAACTTGAGACCGGTAGAGTTTGGGATTAGTGAGATAACTTTAGTTTTAAATCTGGGTTTGCAAAGTTATGCTGGTTTACTTCTAAAAGAGTTATATAAAGATGATAATTCAATCATAACTGGCATCAGAGCACATTAGGTTGGGTATAACAGATCACAGAAAACCATGACCAGCTGACCAACCCATTCTCTAAAAAAATAGCAGCACAATTTTTAGAAGATCCTGTGTTGCTCAATGCAGGGATAGTGTGAGTGTCTCCAGTTTTGAGAGGAATTTGGATTCTCGGTCATGGTTCCAGCTGAAGGAATAAGGATAAACATGTCCTGCACACCTTTTGAATGCATATAAGAAACACTTTTTATAGCGTAAACAGATGTAGTTGCAGAAATATCTTCCTTTGCTTTAATGACAGGACAGAGTGTGCAGTCTTTCCTTTCTGGCTTTGCTTGCAGTATCTGTATTGCTTTGAGCCTTGATTATGTTCTTTTAATTCGTCGTACTATTCCTAGATTAAAGTTTATTCTTCATATGAAAAAATGTGCAGCTGTCCGTGTCTGCGATTATTCATCTGGCGACAGCACCAAGCTTTTTACGTGAACTTGCACACAGCTAAGCCCAAAAAATGTGGATTGACTTACTGTGTTTATAAGCAGTGTCAGGGTCACTGTGACTGCTTAGCATTGTTGTGGCTGTTAGGCTTAGTGGAGCCATGTAACAGAAAGATGTCCCAGGTATTTTCAACTCGCCCTGTAATACAGTCCCCAGGTCTCAAAGCTTCCATCCTTTGGGCCTTATGGAACGTGTGCATGGCCTGCAGATGATTCTGGTGTCATATCTATTCTTGGCCACATTCAGCAGCACAGAAAGGGCACGGTGTAACAAACCATTCACAAGCATCCGTCTATAGGTTTGTTTTCTCAGAGTTACTGGTTTGTGTCTCCTAAAGATAATGGGAAGGATTTGTGCTCTGAAATGTTCACTTTTATGTCTTTGTTTTATCATTTATCTTTTATAATCGTGATTTTACATTATCTTACAGCTGTAGCAAAGAACTCAGACTTCCCAGTAACACACAAATCAGCTGGTATCTCCAGGGTCAGAGTATATATATTGATAGCTCTTTCGTGTTTCCCACACAATGGTGCCTATCCAGTTACATGTACTGTACACTTTGTGCTACAGGAAATAAAAATATTGACAAAAAGAGCACTTGGATCTGCCCGAAGGAATGACAAATAGACAAAAGGATGAATAATAAGGAGTTGCAGTAACCTTAGACCTTGTTCTTGCTGCTGCTTTTTGCTCTGTGGTATTACACTAGTTACCATGTTTTTAAAAAACCTGCATGTTTCTCTCTTTTACATCTTACAGGATGAAATTTGGAAGTACAATAAGAAAGCTTTATGAAATACTTAATAGCATAGCTTTATAAACATAAATCCAGGTCAAGTCAATGGAAGGAAATTGTTTTCAGCGACCTCTAAAGTTCAGAACTCTCCAGAAATTATAGGAAAACTCAAAATTCCATCCATCCATTATCTTCCGCTTATCCTCATTACAGTCACAGGGGCTGGAGCCTATCCCAGCTTCTCTCGAAATAGAGGTAGGACAGGATGTATCCCCCCCCGTCGCGCCCCTGCCTGTTACATTTAAAAAACAGAAGTCGACCCAAAGTGCTTTTATTTAGTGGAATTTGCAAATTGATGACATTTGCTTTATAAATCGAAATAGACTGCTTTCCCATAAGCTGCCTTTTTAGGTTAAAACTACTGGTATCAGTATTGGTAGTGCCATTACTGGCCTTGTATTTGCTGTCAGATCGATACCAAAATTTGCAGTATTTACTGCACTGGTGCTGCCAGGTGTTTGCAGAGCAGAGCCGTGGGGTTGTTCAGCAGTGCAGTAAAGCAAAGAGGCTCTGTGACACTAATCATCACCTGAAGCTGTTTATGGTGTTCACATAACTTGGAGGTCAGCAGGTACTGACTCAAAGTTTACTGATTAAATTTATTTTACCTTGGTTGACTGAGAAAGGCTTTTCTCTCCCTTAACAGTGTTCACTGAGGTGTCCTTAAGCAAGGCTCATAAACCCCAGCTCCAGGAGCAGCGTGTCTAGCGACAATAAAAAAAAATGGGGGCAATCAGTGAAGACAAGACAGAAATGTGCTTAGCTAACTTTTACCTGGGTAAATAAAAGTCAGTAAAAACATGAAAGAAGAACTTAATGATCCCTATAGGTGTAGATAGGGGCAAAGAAATGGAAAGAAGAGGTGCAAAAACAGCTTCCATGTTTTACATTATCCAGTACCATGAGAATAGGTTTGGTAGTTACTGCAAATGTCATTGAGCTACCTTACGTGTACAGTTACACAACAATAAAGCCCCTCAGTTCTCTCACTGAAGCCTAATACTGCCTTTAAACTATTGAACATTGTGAAGTATATGGCCTCCTCTGATTTGTGAACATAGGGACAAAGGCATGGAAATGAATCACCCTTCTGCTGCTGAATCATTATCATTATACTGTGAGTCTGCGTCTAACATAAAACTCTCTCTGTTTCTTCCAGTCATGGTGATGACATGATTGTAACACCCTTTGCACAGGTGAGCGGTTGCACCAGTTTTGATGTCTTGACGCCTTACATACTGCCATAATGTGACGTTCAATTCTGTCATGTCCCCCTCAGGTTCTTGCAAGCTTGAGAACTGTACGAAACAACTTTGGTGCATTAACTAACCTACAACAAGACAGAACATCCAATAAGTAAGTTTGGAAGGCTGTAAAGCTTTACTGAAACAAAACCTTGCTGTAGTGAGAGGACTCTAATAATCAGTGTGACCAGCTTATGATATCTGATCACAGTCACCTTATGGCTGAGTTGTTCTACTCTGCATGTGGCAGTAATTTGTCATTCACATCCAGTGGCGGTCCTAGCCTGTTTGGCGCCCTGGGCGAACTTTCCCTCTGGCGCGCCCCCCCACCCCACACACACACACACACACACACACACACACACACACACACATAAAACATATTAAGGATTGTACATTAACAAAAAACTGTTGTCGGAACCATACTGAATTTCACCAGAGAAACACACACACACATATGAAAAGAGAGAGAGTATGCATAGTATGCAAACGGCTACCAAACAGCCATCATAATTCATCATACAATGAGAACAGGACCAATCAACAACTGACAATGACTAATTAATATTAAAATCTGTAACATACTGTATTGTTTGGAGTTTAGTCTGTTACTGTAACCCACATAATTTCCTTAATTTAATAAAGTATTCTGATTCTGATGGTTTCAGGATGACCTGCCATTATCCAATGACACATCTGCTTACCTGTATCTTTTGCTCGTTTCTCCTCCTCTTCTTTTCTCTTTTTTCTAAACTGAGCACCTGATGGCTTTGAACTTTTCTTGTCCATCTTCCATTGGTTTTAATTTTGCACTCCAATATGAACACAAATCCCCCAACTCGAGGATCGCCACGACATAACCTAATAGACCTACACCTTAATTCACAGACTCGCTTTGTCTAGGGTTTATTTCTGGGATTTCGCACAACTCAGGACTCAAAACATCAATACATAATGGGCTTGGATTTACAACACTATGAATGAAATGTGCTTTGTTTCGAAGCAGCCGGCCCCTCCCCTTTCGACGGGTTGTGTGTTTGAGACTTTAAATCATCAAACTGTAAAATAGAAATTTTAAATTGTTACCCCTCTCTTTACCCCTGGTCCTAAAGTGTATGTTTATTTTCTTACTCTTCTTATATTTATTGTTTGTTTACTTGCACTGCTGTAACTGGAGCCTCGTCGTCTCGTCTCTCTATATACTGGACTGTATGTAGCGGAGATGACAGTAAAGTTTACTTTGACTTCAGCAGCAGGCTGTTTGTCTGGTGTTTTTGTTGGTTTGTTTGTTTTTATTTTGTTTTATTTTGCGAGTTGGTTATTAGATGCTGCTTCAGCCAGCCAGAGAATCCCCCGCCGCCCCGTCCTCTCCTCCCTGTGCCGCACGCAGCAGGCGCACCTTGCAAACGGAGGGCGCCCTTACTCCCAGCAAATGGGCGATAGAAAACCGATTGGTGCCTGTGCCATTCCTAATATGCGCTGGCATGACGTCAGGGCAGCATGAGAACGAGCAATTTTTAAAAAAATTTTTTTTGCCGATGCCCGTGATGCCGACCCCCACCACGATGCTGCCCCGGGCAACCGCCCGTGTCGCCCGTATCAAGAACCGCTACTGTTCACATCCTTCACCTGCCTGCACTGTCTCCAGTGCTCACACATAGTCGGGCTTTGCTCGCCTTCTGCTGGATATATTCAGTATTACAACAACAGTGTGACTGTTGTAATAGTCACAAAAAAACAGCAAAAGGAGATTACGTTTCTTTACTTACTGTTATTTTTAGAGTTAATAACCGACTGTTTTGTGTGGCTCTTTGTTTCCCCCATGGCAGAAGATCACCCATGTGTAACCCACCACCTATCACCAAGACCACCTTCACAGGTACGTAGACAGAAGAACGGCATGACTTGATGATATCTTTGTCTACTGTGTGTCCTTGTGTGTACGCGTGTGGTTCACAGCACTTTGTAAAGCAGTATTTACCTCACTTTGGCACACAGGGATCTCTAGTGCGGAAGCAGATGATAAGCAACGATAGTGAAATACAGATAATAACTTAAAATATGTAATAAATGGCTCATTCATTGTCTAAAAGCTGGTGATCAATTCTGAGTAGAACTAAAAGGAGAGCCTTACCAGAGTAGTCTCATCCATAACTGAAACTGGGATTAAATAGTTTATAGTAACAAAACGGAAGCGCTATCATTATCATGATGTCTTTTATCAGTTTTAAGATGATAAATATGATAACAATGAAGGGCTGTCAAGCACACAAAAAGTTGTGCAATAAGTCCAAACAAACAAACAAACAAACAAACCCATGAGCCAGAATATAAATATGAACTGTATATTTCACAGAGAAGTGGTTCACAGCAACAATAATTAGACTGTCCGATAGTATGGTGAAGTGTTTGTTTTTATTTGGTAACACGTCTCTATTCTAAGAAGCACTCATGGGGCTGTAGCAACAGACAGATCACTGTTCCCATAACAGATTAATAGGTTGTGTGTGTGTGTGTGTGTATATATATAGTAATACTTGTCTTGGATAACCTAATGTGTTGAACACATTGGACAGATACCCTGTACTGCACAGATTGTCTGGTCTGCTTTAAGTGTTTTTGTTGTGAGGAAGACATGGCACAGACAGTGTTAGCTGGCTAGAATAGACTTGCCCTTGACAGTCACTTTGCTTTTTAGCAGTGTCAATGGCTGCAACCCAGCTTGTGTTTGCAGGAAAGACCAAATAACCTTCACCATTAATAAATAATTTCACTGTGCATTGCTCGGTAAAATGATCATGAGCGCGCACGCACAAACACATGGACATAGATATGCTCAATAAAAGGACAAAACTATATATTATTCTATATATTTATAATAGTCATTTATTAAGGGTGCCAAATTTTTGCTTACTCTTGTATTTGTGGGCAATCCTTACAGATGTTAAAATCGAAATCTCAAGACTTACCAACCTGCTTATATATTAAGAACCACTGACATCGTGCTATATTTAGAAAATAATCTGGTGCACAGCCCTGCCATAAACTGGTGACAGCTGTGAGTCATGAGCATAATTATTTGAGACTATTGACTGATACTTGTAACGCAAAGGCTTATTGAGCCTGCAACAAGTCGCATTGCAGAGAAAGACAATAAAGGGAGTATAATTAAAATTAAGTCGGTAAATCAGTCAAGGAGAAGATGCTGGTCAATAAAAGTGAGATTGCATGTAGGGCTCTTTGCCCCTTCCTCTGCTTGTCTTTCCATCTTTAGCTTCCTGCCCCTGCTTGCCAGAGCAGTTTTTTTTTTCTTCTGTTATCGGAAAGATGCACTAATAGTTCTTTGACCTTTTACCTGTTGTGGATGAGAATAGTTGCTGGTTAAAGTAAAGAGGGAGAGACAGACAACGATTTCAAGTTTCAAGCAATGCAGGCAGGCAGTAATTTGCATAATTGATTCAAACGGTTATGGCAGCTTTTTAAACATTTAGGCACTGAGGTGAGTTTAAAGAGATGCACGTGTCACTCGCATTCAGTATTCAACACAGTAGAATTATGTTTTTGGTTACATTCATTCTTTTTCCTTTTTTTATTGCACGCGATGCGGCCAGAAGCTATTTTCAAAGCTGATGCTAAACTCAGTGTCACAAGAGCTGTCCTTCCTCCCGAGCTCTGCGTTCTCCTTCCTTTTCCTCCTTGCTGCTCCTCTTCCTCTCTCTTCTTCTCATCGTCTCCCACTCCAACTTCACTGTCAAGCTGTTCCGGTACATAGTTTGGCTGCAGCCCTGCGTCTGTGCAGCAGAGTGGCCTCTCTGAGCGCCGGTGTCTGATGTCGCACTAAGCATGAGAAGAATGTCATTGACGTCAGTGCAGTTGCTGTCAGAAAGAGTAGCACCCCAGCTACTGACACCACACCAGGGAGAGAGACACCGAGAGAGAAAAGGAGACTGAGGGGAAGCGAAGCGAGAGACAAAAAATAGGAGCAAGAGAGAGAGAGAGAGACAAAGAGGGGAAGGATGATCAGTGGAGAAGTGTGGGAGAGGAAGGGGACTAATGGAAGCAGGGTGGGAAAGATTTGTCAAAGACAATGAAGCGGGATAGGGGTTCAGAGTATGAGGTCATAGAAAGGCATTGTTGTGCACAAAACAGACCCATATGGTAACAAAATTAGTGTGCATCTCTTCCAAATATAAAGCATGAGATATTAATAAAATTTACTTATCTTGTCCTACTTGTGCAATCGAGAGCTATGAACTTGAAAACTTAACTGTACACATTTACATCAGTAAAGTCAATATGAAGACAGAGCAGTGTTTCCCAAAGGCTTTAAGGCACTTTAAACACTTCCTACAAATGGTAAGTTGATATGGCATCACGAAACTAAATGTAGTCCTCGTGTGTTTTAATCTGCCGCTGCCTTGTCTGTGTAACTGAATTATGGCTTTAGTGACCACACATCACAGATCACATTGCATTAAACCCCTGTGTGCTTTCCTAAATTAGTTAAGGCATCAATATTAATTGGCTTCTGACAAGGTGACATTTTCTGCTAACATAGGCTGACTTTGAGAGGTGCATGTCTTTGATCTCAAACGAAAAGAAAAGGATACCGTGGCACTGCGATGTCGGGCTCATCACGCTAAACCGCTGCCATCTTCACCATATGGTCTGCCATCTATTTGTTTACCTCTCTCTTTTGGTGTATTTGTATGCTGAGCACATATTGGCATGCATGCACACTCAGTATAGGGAGCTCCCAGCTCTGGCTTCTCACTTCCAGCAGTCCAGTCCATGTTTTGATGATCTCCCTTCCCCATCCACAGTGCGGTCCTCTCAGGCTTTAGGTACAGCTTGGGGAGAGCAGCACGTTTGGCTACCAGGGACGCTGAAGCAACAGCAGCCCACCCCCTATACACACACACACACACACACACAGCATCCATAGGAAACACTGTCCAGCGTACACACACAGCACTGGATTATACCCTTTGCTTCCCGGATACCATGGATGTTTTCATTGGCAGAGAGGCTATGGAGACAAAATCATGATGTGTTATGGTTAGCATTTTGTCTGGTGTGAGTGTGCATGTGTATGCATGTGTGCGTCTGTTGGTGTCCGTGTTTTTGTATGTGTGTGTGTCTGTGAGATGTATTTCTTAACCATGTCAAGTTGCTGTGAACGATCTTGTGTTTGTTCCACCTTGGACAATAGTGACATGGATCTTGCCTGGTTCTGAGCCTCTCACTGGATCCTCTTTTCCCTGATCCCCGTCTTCGCTCCATCCCTCCTATGGCAGACATGGGCCTGCTAAGCAGACTGTTGTTCATCTTGCTACATGACTGGAATTATACTTCTCTTATGAATCATACAGTAAACCCTATACACCCAGATCACTGAGTAGAATATGTGTGCTGTGTATGAGTGATAGTGAGGAAGTCTGTTTTTCTGCTGTTGCTCTCTTTGCTCTGTGGTTTACGTCTCTATTCTCTGCCGATGTTTCCTTACTGTTAACGAGCATCTGGACACACTGAATTGACTCGGGGTGGCTGTTTGCCATCCATCTCTCACAGCCATACTCCCAGGGATTGTATCTGACTTAAAAGGAAGAAGCCGGGAACTGTGGGACTGCGGTGAAGGTTTCTTTTCTCCATGGGGAATCAATGAGCTTGGCTACAGCTGACCTCTGCTCATCTGCGGGTTAGGATACGGGACATAAAGGCCCTGCTCCCACGCCCCCCACCCCTACCCCCTCAGCTGGCTCACCTGTCCAGTATGAAGAGTCACCCATGTGTCTACTCGGGGTATCCCAGCTTAGCTGTTTGTGGGGTGGGAGACCCCGGGCCTGGACCGTCCACTAGCCCTCTGAAGCGGGTCCTTACTGATCCCCTGCCCTCCTGTCTTGCCCCTGCAGAGGAGGCCTACCAGAAACTGGCCACTGAGACCCTGGAGGAGCTGGACTGGTGCCTGGACCAGCTGGAGACGCTGCAGACGAGACACTCAGTCAGTGAGATGGCTTCAAACAAGGTAAGAATAGCTAAAAAGTTGTTGTTGTGGGTTTTTTTTTTTTAAATTCATGGCAGTATATGTTATAAGTATTCTCTGTCTCTGTAATGTGGAAGTTGCTTCCTGGGTTTCACTTTAGTGTTTGTCTGCTTTGTTTTAATTTTGTGGCGTTTGAGCAAAATATAGTGTAGTGCTGATGCTGTGTGGGACATGCAGTACACTGTATGTGCTAAACTCTACTTGAAGTTGCACTTTTACAAATATTTACAGTATATACAGAGTTTCCTGCAGATTGAAAGTGCTAAGAAGCTAAACTACTAAATGAAGCTTGACTGCTTAACAGAACTGCGTTCAATGATTAACTTTATATATCTTTTAAAAAGAAATTGTGCAGCACACTTTCATGGGAGTTGTCATGTTGCTAACCAACGCCTGTGTTTTTACACGTCCATCTAAAAGAAAAAGACATGTAAAAATAGAGTCATTTTACTCATCTTATACAAAACTCTTGTATAAGTTTAAATGCCGTAATGGCTTGGTTTTTTTCTTGGACAAAGCTTATGTCACTTTTAGCACTGCATTAGCAAACTAACAAACAATAGTGAGATCCATTGTATCACAGGCTGTCGATGTAGTTGATTTTAAACATAATTCCATTGTCTTTAGACCTCCTCATCCCTAATAATGACTCGTTATGAACCCACTGTAAAAGCAGCACTGTAGAAACTTGATTCTTCCACATTTTGTTTGTTTTTGTGTGTGTGGTTGATCTATGTGCTGCTTGATTATGTGGTTTAATGTCTTTCTTAATACTCGTCAGTCATTGCACCGCACATTGGTCTGTTTATGTTGTATGGTCTATATCGCCAGTGTGTGAATGTGTGTGTGAATGGGTGAATGACTGAATGTAGTGTAAAGCGCTTTGGGGTCCTATGGACTAGAAAAGCGCTATACAAATGCAGGCCATTTACCATTTATATATGTTAGCGATAGCATCGTCATGCAAGCGAGGAGTTTTGGTATGAGCATGCTCAGTCGCTTCCACTGCGTGTGTGTGTCCGTGTGTGTGAGAGTGTTAGTGTGCTGCTCTGAATGCTGATCAGCTCTGGGCTGTGATGATGTCACACACTGTGATGTCACACGAGGTGGGACGAACCAAGAGGAGAGACAGACAAAGGAATCAAACAAAAAGCACAGGTTCACCTCTGATGTTAGTGCGATCACACACATCACGCTGCACATCTACCTCATTTAAATTTTAAAAAATCACTTCTTTAAAAAGAGAGAGAGAGAGAGAGAGAGAGAGAGGTAAAAGAAAAACTGTAACATGCTCTCTTTTATCAGCACAGCTATCTTTGGTCGTCATGGCAACAGCCACAGGCTCAGCCGCCCTGCTATCTCACTCCAGCAATGCACACATACACACTCACACACGTACAGACAAAGACATCACATGTAATACAGTCGCTACATCTCCCACACATGCCCGCAGACTTTAACATCGGTGTTTAAAGGTATCCTCAGCTCATCGTCGAGATAAATAAAAGAAACCAAAAAAAAAAAAGATTGAATTCATTTGAGGAAAATGGAATAAAATTACGGAAAAATCACTTCTCTCAGTGTTTGGGACCATTGTTAAAACTCACCGCCCATAAAGTACAGTTCCTTGTGGGTTCCCATTCATCATCTCTGCTCTCAAATCAGGTCACAATATATTCTGGTGAAATACTGCACGTCACCTCGGAATATCACTATTCCCAAGGTTACTCTGTTAGGCTTAGAGGCTGCTGTAACAGTAGGTTAGGCAAGGTCAGTTTGCCCTCCAGGACATTCGTACTGCCATTCTACTTAATGCACTTTCACACAGTAGCTAAAAACACACACAGCACACACACCCATTGTACACCAAATGAAACAAGTCGTTTGCAGTTGTAACACCTTCTTTGACATTAAAAGTGCACATGTCTCTGCAACCCAGTATCACGGCAAAACCTGTAATAGAATCGCTGAGCCACTGGCATAGCTTGTCCATTTCCAGCTTTGACTCTTAGACATTATTAACACAGTTACACGGACAATATGTACATATTAGCCACCTAGCTTAATCGATTCTACTGATTAAGGACCCTGAAATGTACTTCACATGTTTTTTTACTCACTACTGACTTCTTGGCTTTTTTAAAATTATTATTATCATTATTATTATTATTATTATTATTATTATTATTATTATCATTATTATTATTATTATTATCTCCCCCTGCTGGTAATTCAACTTCTGCATGTGTGTCTATTTCACCCTTTTGCAGAGGCAAAGTGTGAAATTGACACACGTCTAACAGACAGCGTGTCTATTAGACGCTTTGCTGTAATCTCGTATAGGTCTCTGAGGTGACACTTGTTGGTTCTCTGTGGGTTCAAGTTCAGGATACTCCCGTGGTTAGATATTTTTCCTTTGTGTGTGATTAAGTATTTCGAGGATTCTTTTGCTCTTCTGTAAGATCGATGTGCACTAGTCAAGTCTGATTAGCGTTGGCTGTTTTCTCATTTGAAATATCAGGGTGTCATGCTTGGATGTTCAGGTTCGAAGGTGTCCTTTTTACTAAAGGCAAGAACTCTTTCCCCCTTTTGGACTCCTACTATGGGCAACTGTTGTTACTCTTTTCTGAACTGAGTGGTTTCTTCCAGAACAAAATGACAAGGTGTGAATCAGAAGTTAGTGATTGTGATCTTTTTGTATACAACTTACTAGGGCGTCCCTTGGAAAAACCTAGAACCTATTCTGATGGTCGTCAAAAATTGTCTTTATTGATGTTTATTGAGGTCTCAGAACTCGTCATTAAGGGTACTGGGGAGGTGATCAAATGTCTTTTTATGTGGGAAGGAGTTAAGACTTGTGTATTTTGGTTGTGTCGTGATCTCATCTGCGGATCTCCTGGCATATGGCAAGTGACTCATTAAAACTTTCTTTCTGTTTTTCTGGCATCACCGTTTTAGTAAGTCTGATTCACTTGCAGTGCGACTGGTGCCACACCTGAACAAGAATCTGGATCGTGTCACTTCTCTTTTTAACCTAAACCTGTAAGGTTGAGCTTCCCTGTCTTTTGCAAATCAGCAGCAGCCAGTGGGTGTTGGTGGATATCTTCTGTTTTCATAATGACTCTCTAATTGTTGCAGCAGGTAAAGTAAATACCAAAGTCTGTAATATGGACCTGTGCTAAATTATGCTTTTCCTGTTATATATGTACACTGCTATAATGGCAGGTGCTGCTATTAAATGTGGCCAAAGTTTCAAATAATGAGGCCAACAGACAATATGTGCAAGTATAACCAGTAACTGATTATATCTCCTCCACTTGTTGCAGTGATACTTTTAAATGATTAAAAGTATTATTCTTTTGATATTTCACTATTAGTGTTTCTTAGCAGCTCATTTCAAGAAAGAGCAAGAGGTTCCTTAGGAAACACCTAGTTTAGCAGCCTCACATCACTGATCTCAGATCTGTGCGAGGAGAGGTTTCTGCTTTTTCTGAATAACATGTAGCTTCCCTTAAGAATTCAAACTGTCTTGTCCCTAAAAGTTGGATCTAGTTCAGCGAGGAGGGCTTACACATGCGATGCGGTTCAGACTCATTCTTCAGTGGCTGAATTAGTGGCTAGTTCTCTTTGCTTTTGCATCTTGCTGCTGATCTTAGTTTTCATAGGTATACTTTGTGCTATAAATGGTACATGGACTAGTATTTGTGTGGTACAGCCCTTTTCCTAACAGTCATGCACTATGTATTGGCCCTGTGACACATTTTTATGTGTGGATTGGAGGAGCCGGGGGATCGAACCACCAACCAGTCTTACCATTACCTGTTTGTAGCCTTCCTACATATGGATTTCCTCCTTGGTGTCTTCTGTATGTCATGAATGGGTGACAGACCCATTTCATCTATAACACTGACAACAATTAAAGTGTTCCTGCTCCCTCTGCGGAGAGGGGGCGTCTGCTGCCCGAATAAATGCAGAATGTGAGAAATGAAAAAAATACATTGATCTGGAGGTGTTGCGAGCTATATATACACAGCAGGAACAGATATTTTTGGTCACAACACACATATATGCTCGGTGTGACACTTTCCAATTTTTACCCAATAGTTTGAGTTCACACCTCTTGGCTAAGCTATTGCTTTGTGTGTGTTTGCGTGACAGCGAGTGGGAGTTTGTGTGGATTAGTGAGGTGTAAGCGGGCGTTGTTTAAACTGTCCACCTGAGAGGAGACCATGTGTTGTGCGTGCACACATGTGCGTGTGTGCTGGGCCTGTGCTGGCCTGCTTGGCTGTGAGTCAATCAAAGCGACTGGATCTCAGCGAGCCGGTGGGCTCATCTGTTCCAGTGTAGCTGTAAATTACTCACAGTGCCAAACAGGCTGTGGAAGTGGGGCGTAAAGTAATCAGAGACAGATTTGGTCCCTTTTCAATCAATGTAAACACTCGACACATGCATGCACACATGTGCGTTTACATACACAACATGAAAAAGAAAGAACAGACTCTAAATCTAAAGAAACGCAGGGGCTGTGGATGTTTTGTGTGGGTGTGCGCAAGTTTCAATAACCTGATTATGGTTCAAATTTTCACTGTTTTTTAAAGATTCAAATTTTTAAAAAGAAGTTTATATGAACCATATAAAGATCTGGAATAATCTTTTTAACTTTGACAATTGTAATTTTATATTCTGTTTATTAATGCTCATCAGCATTACTAAGGCCTTTTGCAGGCAGCCTTTGCAGTCCTTTCGACGTTAGCTATGTTAGCGGCCGACATCATCCCCGACATTTATGCTTGTGTGTCATGGATTACGCGTTAATTACCGTGCGGTTGTGTTCCACTGTTTTACATGTGGTGCCAGCCAATAGAAATTAATAAAATGCTGGGCCTTTTTTCCCCTCATCTCCCAGATGTTTGATGCCGCCCTTTTTTCAGGGGCAAACATGCTCTTCTCTCAAGTTTTATCTCTTCATTGTACATTCCCTGCCTCTCGCCCTATGGTAGCTGGGATAGGCTCCAACCACCCCCACAACCCTAATAAGGATAGGACCATGTGTCAGACACCCCTGGTTTATGGGGTGGGGTAAGTTAGATGGTGGTGATGATTAGAAAAATGATCCATCATCATCATCATCATCATCATCACTGCAATATTTATCAGTAAAGCTGTAATATCAAAACTTGCACGCTGTCTGAACTCTGAACATTGATTGGAAATGTTTTTGGACCAGTACCTCAACAGGTAATTTGAAGAGCATACACAAGTGTTTATACTAAGACATTTCTTTAAATAAACCAAAGTCCAAAGTAAACATGTTTTTCACCAAAGTTTGGTTCTGCTTTTCTTAGAAATACCCCCTGTCCAGATCCTAAGATTAGTATCACAGTTCAGAATTTTCCACACCTGCAATTACAAGAAGCAGTCCAGTAATTATTTGAGCTTACACATCTAATATCACTCATTTTGGTAGGACAAGATTCAGATGCCCTGTACATTTGAATTGCAGCAAACTGCAAACAGCTCTCTGTCAATGCCCTTTTTTTTCCACTGGGACATCGTTGGCGAGCTGACTCAACGTGGGTTTTCCTGTAAAATTTCAAATTTAAGACTTGAGATTATCGGCGGATAATTCAATAATGCTGGATGTCAACATTAAAAAATGACTGCTGGAGACATGAAATGCACTCATAAAGCATCAGGTGGATATACTCACTTTGGAGGTGTTTGTCGCTTGGTGCTGCTTCAGAAAGAAAAACAAAAAACTCCTGCTTGAATAAGGTTTCATCTTTTGCCTTTGATTAAAGCGACGACCTCCCGAGCTTGCTGACACGCACACGGAGCAGCCTGTGTGGCTGCAGCACTTTTAGTTTCTGTCCTATTGAGCCCACTTCAGATAACTGTGACGCTCATTCTTATTGTAAGACTAATGATGGGGTTTTTTTGTGTGTGTGTTTACATCATCTCATCAGTGATGCTGCTGTGACTCACCTCGCTTGAATACCGGGGTGGAAGGTGACCTTTTTTTAAATATTATATCATGTTGGATGAGGTAACCTGCACTTGTATATCAAGCTGTGCAGAAGGTTAGAACAGTTGGCCATGCATCTTATATGAACATGTTTTGCATACACACAAATGTAGGTGTGTACTGTACACACACACACATGCATACGCAAACTAACATCCCCCTTGCACCGCAGGAATTAAAGGAAAGGGAAGGGGTAGATTTTTCCACTGACCTCAGTCCCAGCCAATCAAACAGCAGGCAGTCTCAGGTCTGTTCCAATCCAAACCAATCAGAGATGATGATGATGAGCTCACACTTCTTTCATATCCGGGCCCTGATTCGCTGCCGTCGTACGACCGTGTGAGGGAGGCAGCCTGTGCGCTTCACATGGGAGCTTGTGTCACACATACAGAAGCAGCCAGGCAGTCCTGTTTGGGAGCTGCTGAGAGAAAAATTTTGCTGTCCTGGTGCTTTGGCATCTACTAAGCATCCGCACCATCATCAATTATTCACAGACTCAGCAGTGCATCCCTGTGCCTGACTCTGTGTGTTCACATGCCAATCTGTGTCACCGTGTGTGGTCACAATATGCTCGCATCGGATCTTTGTGTCAGAATCTGTTTTTCTTCGGCTTGGTTCTTTGGTTATTTGCAGGGCAAGAACGCAATGCTTCACTTACGGACTCTGCACAGCTGATTTACTTGGAATTGAGCTCTGCGGGCTCCTCAGGTTGAGGTCTTTTAACTGGCGGGAACTGCCTTTGTTTTACTAGCTGTCTAGTGTTTTCATTGACTGAGCAGTATACCGGACTATAAACCTGCACCTTTTCTGCTTCTGGATCGGTTTGCTTGATTTGTCAAAATGCCTGAAGCAAATTATTTGCTCTCTGTGTCCTGGGGATACATACAGGTAAGATCCCTTCTTATATTAGTGTAGTTTTTTTATATATTCATATGCTTCACACCTAGTTTGACGTGATTGCTTAAATTAATTTTCATCGAGAGGACGTGGTTTTTTTGTAACTTTCATCCCTCAGACCAGTTGAGATATACGAAGCACGTCATATATCTCCTCAAACTGTTGCTGCATTGGTGTGAGATTTCTGGGTCCGTTTTCCATTTTGATGCATTTGATGTGAAGAGCCAATGTTGTACTCGCATGGTGCTGCCTGGGTGTAATTCACAGAAAAAAATGATAATTTAGGTGACTTTGGATTCAAGAGCAAAGATGTTTTCGCAAAATCTCTGGATCGTTATTTCCATTCTGGTTGTTTCAAAGGTTAAACGGCACAAGTGGCCTCTTAGGTCAAAGAAAACAGCAACTCTTAGGTCTCTCCTTTTTAGGTCCATAATCTTTTAATTTTACTTTATACAGATATCTGGAAATCTTGTAGGTTGCATTTTTATTTATATGTTGCTATTTTTATATGTTTGTAATTATTGTATTTGTCGCTTTTCTGCAACAATGGCTGCAAGTGGCTCGCAGCCTCTGGTGTCATCATTATAAAAAAGCCTGTGGGTGTTCTTAAATCGGACTGAGCTCTAAAGAGACTCCTGTGGTGTTATGGCTTGCTTAAAGTGATCAGTATGGCTTTACATAAATCATTGATATACACTGTGCATTTTACAATTTCATAATTAAATTCATTCATAATTAAATAATGCATTGAGGGGTTTTTTAAATATCTGTTTTGTAACTTTGTGGTTTGGAACATCAGTGATTTAAAGCGTTTGCCTCCACATCAATCAATTTGGTTTTCAAAACCAAAGCTGCAGCTAAATTTGGGCCTGCCACTTCAATTAGGCACCGGAGAGCTAAGAGCAAATGAGGAATAAATAAATGCTGTCAGTTTTTTCAGGGCAGCAGCCCTCTAAATCTGTGTGTGTGTGTGTGTGTGTGTGTGTGTGTGTGTGTGTGTGTGTGTGTGTGTGTGTGTGTTAAAGTGAGAGAAGGTGAAATTTCTGGGAATAACTACTGTATTGTTCCTTGAAATTTTAAAAATCTGTCTGCAAAAGACTGTTGCTATTAGGAATGTGTATGCCATCAAATCATCTGTTTTCTTTACATGCATAGATTTTTTTTTTCACGTTCTGGAACTTGAACTATGTTTTCAGTTTCTGTTCTTTACTTGAAAATGACATTATTAAGTGCCTCTGAACACCTCTGACCTGAAAAACCAAGTAATTGTGATTATGCCTTTTTCCGAGACACTGAACCCATTATTCATATACGTGTGTGCTCCGCTTTCAGTTCAAGAGGATGTTGAATAGAGAGCTCACGCACCTCTCGGAGATGAGCCGCTCTGGGAACCAAGTCTCTGAGTTCATCTCCAACACCTTCCTGGGTGAGTGATGACACGGGTAGATAGACTCGCCCTCCTTCCTGCATCGTGACAATCTTTGTATTCACTTTTCTGTTCTTTTTTTTCTGCACTGTGTCTCTCCAGACAAGCAGCATGAAGTCGAGATGCCATCCCCTCAAACGCAAAAGGAGAAGGAGAAGAAGAACAAGCCCATGTCTCAGATCAGTGGGGTGAAAAAGCTGCAGCACTCATCCAGCCTCACAAACTCGAACATCCCTCGATTTGGGGTCAAGACCGAGACCGAAGATGAACTTGCTAAGGTGTGTTTGTGTGCATAGTTTACATAAATATAGTGCACAGTGTGTGCAATTTGATGTATATAGTTGAGGGAATTTATTTCTGATCTTATCTCATTGTTTTTTGGGGTTTTGATTTTTTTCAGGAGTTGGAGCATGTGAATAAATGGGGCCTTAATGTTTTTAAAATCTCCGAATTTTCTGGGAATCGACCACTGACAGTCATGATGTACACAATATTCCAGGTAAAGACTTCCTTCTTCTGTTTTTCTGGCTCTTTTGCTGCTTGATGAATCCCCAAATTGTCCAAATCGTCTTAATTGTAATCCCCCCCTTTATTTCTTATTTGCAGGAGAGAGACTTGTTAAAAACTTTTAAAATTCCACTTGACACCTTTATAACCTACCTGATGACCTTAGAAGACCATTACCATGCCGATGTGGCCTATCATAACAACATCCATGCTGCTGACGTCACCCAGTCAACTCACGTGCTGCTATCCACCCCTGCCCTTGAGGTTAGGTGCAAGTGCACGCACACACACAAAGACATGGAGCACTCTTGTACACATGCATTGACATGCATATACTCACAAACACGTAGGCCATGCTTCCACAATCAGCTTCAATCAAACTCCTTCTCCACGTCCAATCAATGGCTCTAAACTTGAAAGGGTATTTTTATCCAGCGAGCTGACTCTCGCATCAGTGCCCTCCGCTCTCCCTTCAACACTTGCTTCTTCTTCTTTCCAGGCTGTGTTCACAGACCTTGAGATCCTCGCTGCCATCTTTGCCAGTGCAATTCATGACGTGGACCATCCCGGAGTCTCGAACCAGTTCCTCATTAACACCAGTAAGCCTGAATATGAGTGTTAGCAACTGTGTCATTACCAAGTATTCACAAACGCACACACCCTGGCACAAAGGTGAGAACATGCACATTGATGCCTCTGCTTCGTTAGCAAGCATACATATGCACACACTCTGCATTATAAATATAATTTCTCTCATAAATCGCATTTCATAATTAATCCAAACTCTGAATTGATTCTTGCATCAACTCCAAAATGTGCCTGCACACATGCACGTGTTTACCAGCATGTTTTTTGCAGGCACGTGTGATGGCTTTGACATGTGATTCCAAAGCAGAGGAGTTCAAAGAGACGATCAATAATTGCCCTAATCCCTGTACTCAACATCATTCAGGATTCTTAGGAAAACGTCCTTCTGAGGACAAATGTAGCCACACTATATGTGCTGACCTCAATATTTTCTTGTTTACATCAAGCGGTAGCTAATCAACGCTGAGAGTCTTATTTCTTTTTATAGGCCATTGCATTTTGGTTGCTAAATTCCAGTAATCTCCATTGTTGAGTGAAGGGTAGACATCACAAAGACAGATTTATCAAAACCTAAAGAAATAAAAGCCAGATAATCTGTGTGACTCACTAACACCAAGAGTAGTGATAGAAGCATCTCAACTGAGCTTATAACCATGCCAGACTTGCATGCCTGCTTCATGTTGTTGTGTTTGTTAATGTATCCCTGAGCTAGACACTAAACCCCTGTTATCTCACTTTAACTGACTCACTTGCTTATGGTTAGTAGTATCACAAATATCACCTTAATTTGGCGGTTTAGAGGAAAACTCAAACAAAAGCAGTTTATATCCACTGGGCACAAATGCATAAGAGTATTACTAACACCAGCCTCAGAACAGAAGGCACACTATGCAGTCGCATACACGTAGCACACACATAAAATGTGTAGTGCTTACCATAAGCCCCAAATGGGGAATCCCTGCAGTAAAGGCAGTGTGAGTCATCCTTGTTAAGTGCCACCAGAATGATCTGCTGTCAGCCAGAGAGCAACGGAGCAGGATCCCCTTTCTCCGTTCTGCTGCTCGGTTTCACTGTGGCCAAGACTAATGCATCTTAATGGAAAATCTAAATACAGCTAGAGGTCCTTCAAATGACCGCGAGTGGGAAATCTCTCAGCGGTAAACATGATGGGGCTTTCTTCTGCTGCTCATTCACCAAGGAATCCATAGCAGCACACATAAAATTCAGCAAGACACCATTAGAGAAATTTGTTGCACTAATAGGCGATTGTTGCACATTTATTGTCTTATGGATCTAATTAAACTGAAATGCACAGTTTAGAATTGCTGTTCCCATCTATGGTAATTTGTATTTGGCAGTATGGTTTTGGCACATGCACATGTGTGGAAAGCACAAGGCACTGAGAGCAGCAGCAACACCTCCAGAACAGAACAAGAGCAGGCATGCATGACTGCAGACACTGATTTAACAGGACAAAGCATGAAAAGGAAGAGATGGGGTGGGTTACAAAGTGGCGTGCAGCGTGTATCAACTTAAGCTTAGCCTAAAAGCAACTTGAAAAGAATTTCCAGTTGGATGTACAGAAGTGTACCAGCGGACTTATCAGCTTCCTGCTAAGTTTCTGCAAACTAAACTAACCAACCGTTTCCCCCCTGCAGATTCAGAGTTGGCACTGATGTACAATGACTCTTCCGTCTTAGAGAACCATCATCTAGCAGTCGGTTTCAAGCTCCTGCAAGAGGAGAACTGTGACATCTTCCAAAACTTGACCAAAAAACAAAGACAATCACTGCGAAAGATGGTCATTGACATCGTAAGTGAAAAGAGTTTCATCTTTTGTAATAAAGGCTGAGTAGAAAGCCTTGTGTAGTATATTACGTACAAATTAAGCGACAGTGTTCTTTGCTGAGTACTAGTAACAGTTTGTTGTTGGTCTTTATAAGGTGCTAGCTACAGACATGTCCAAGCACATGAATCTGCTGGCTGATCTGAAAACAATGGTGGAAACTAAGAAAGTGACCAGCTCTGGTGTCTTACTGCTGGATAACTATTCTGACAGGATACAGGTAAAACTGGCTGTCTAATATCCACGTCTCTGTTGTAGTATTTCCTGCTGCTGTCTATATTGTCTTTTGGGACATTGGCGCTGTGTTTTAGATTGTGTTACCGGTCACATTCAGGTTCTCCAGAACATGGTGCACTGTGCAGATTTGAGCAACCCCACCAAGCCTCTGCAGCTGTACCGGCAGTGGACGGATCGCATCATGGAAGAGTTTTTCAGCCAAGGTGACCGAGAACGGGAGAGGGGCATGGAGATCAGCCCCATGTGTGACAAACACAATGCCTCAGTAGAAAAGAGCCAGGTAACACACACACAGGCAGATAAGTGTACTGTACTTGTGTGCTGTGTAGACACACACTGAGAGTCCTGTTTTTCCTGCGTGTCCTCTGTAGGTTGGATTCATAGACTATATCGTCCACCCTTTGTGGGAGACGTGGGCTGACCTGGTCCATCCGGATGCCCAGGACATCCTGGACACATTAGAAGACAACAGAGAGTGGTACCAAAGCACCATCCCCCAAAGTCCCTCCCCTGCGTTGGACGAGCCTGAGGACAGCACTCGACCTCCGGGAGGGGACAAGTTCCAATTCGAGCTCACCCTGGAGGAGGACGGGGAGTCGGACACTGAGAAAGACAGCGGCAGCCAGCCAGAGGAGGAGGAGGAGGAGGAAGAGGAGGAGGAGGAAAACAGCTGTACTGATTCTAAAACACTCTGTACGCAGGACTCTGAATCAACAGAGATACCTTTGGACGAACAGGTGGGGGAGGACGATGACGATGATGATGAGGTAGTAGAAGAGGGAGAAACACCCTGCTCACAATCATGTGTTGTCGAGGAAGAGGTAGCAGAAGAGGAGGAGGAAGAGGAGGAAGAAGAGAAAGCGAAATCCCCTGACACATAGCAGTTTATGGACAGCATCTGATTAACTCTTCTTCTTAGTAATGACAGATGATTATTTATAGAATATTTTTTGGGTTTTGTTGAATCTGTGTGTGGTTTTTATACATCCATGTTTCTGGTTCCAAAGCGTGCGCTGCTCCCCACCTTGGCCACTCCTCCCTGCCCGCTTTGTTCAGACACGCCCACTGGTACTACTTCAAGTTTTTTTGCACTCAGGAAAACTCCTTTCCATTCCCATTTGTACTGAAGTGGTGTGTCTTTATTTCACCTTTACAGCCCCCTCCCTTTTACAGGCTTAAGTTTGTGGACCAGCAGTTCAGTCTCCTCCGTGCTGTTCTTACTGTACGTAACATCACGTTTTCCTCCTTTTCTGCTTCGTCTCAGCCTCGCCCGAAGGTTTGCCAGTGTTTCCGTGTTTTATTAAGTGCCCATACTCTACAGAGACAGTTGTTGGCGTGTTCAAGGAGAACCTCCCTCTCGGTTAGGTCATATCCCCCCCCTCCCGCTACAAATTAGGAGGCACGTTATGCTGTCATCCGGTCGAGAAAACCTGACGGGGCGCCGCAGAGATGAAAGCTGCAGCACACCGGGGAACTTTTTGAGACACATTTCTGCTGTGGAAGTCTTCCTTGAAAACCTGACTGACACCAAGCTCAAATCGAAACGGCTGTGTCGCTGTCCTAGACCTCTTTAATTTTTTTGTATCGTACTGTATGTAAGATTCAGATATTTTCTAGAATTTACTTTTGCAATCTTAGGCTCTGTTTTGTTAGAAATAAAGAAAACGAGGGCACTTTTGGAAACTAATGGGGGAGAAACGTGTCGTAGATATTCAGTGTTTTTTTGTTTTGTTTTTTTTCTTGAAGGGGATATCTTTACAGCTGGGTTACATTGAGTGTTCTGAGCTGTTTGCACTTGCTCCAATAGCATTTATACTACTATTTCCATGCCACTGTACTCATATTTGGTTTGTCCTGTCAGTTTGAATTTTGGAATTCATTCATAATAACTATTGTTTTTGGTGAGCGTCTTCACCGAGAAGGAAGCGTGAAAGCCGAGGTTTTCACACTTCAGTTACATTGTTACAAGCCTTTAAATTTAATTGTCGTTGCCTGCAGTTCTTTTGAACACATCCTAAGACAATGCAATGCTTTGTAGTTGATACAAAAAGCACCTTTTTTAGAAGCTTGTTTAGTGCTCCAAGTATACAGAAATAGAAATGGTATTATAGGGTGATTTTATACAAATGCTACGAAAGCTTTTTATCGTCCTTCTTTTCATTTTCTTGCCCTTATTTGACACGCACATCAAGAACTGCTGCTTTTTTCCAGTCACTGTGTTTTCTTTTACCTGTTGTAAATGTGCTTTTCATCACGAACACATTTGTTTTTATAGGGTTTTTTTTGCCTACACGACGTTAACTCCAGTTACTGTCTTTGTTTTCGACAAGACAATCAGCTCCATCGTGCAGTCGTCAGATATCCTCTACAGATATCCAGATACTCTTGCACAGATACATATATTCGTTTATGATTACATTTATTGTTTTATTTAAACTCGCCAAAACGCGTGCGCACATAGGCTTGAACGTTGTCGCCCTACATCACAGCCAAAACTCTTCACTTTTTTCTATCATATTTTACGCCTCAATTTATTATTTATTGCTTGATTCTTTTTTTTCCCCCTCTTTGTGTGTGTGTGTGTGTGTGTGTGTGTGTGTGTGTGTGTGTGTGTGTGTGTGTGTGTGTGTGTGTGTGTGTTTTTTTTTGGTTTTTTTGCATTATGAAGATGGTACAGTAAATATTTTACTGTAGCATAGACCACATCGCAGGCTTGCAGGTTACAATATCCAAATATACTTTTTAACCCCAGTGTACATACAATATTTAAAAGAAAATCCACCTCTTTAAAGAAAAAAAAACCACTTGAAGTACTGCACACCGCTTTTTAAAGAGTGCTCGTTTTGATTATGTGTCATTTTAAAACTTTTTATTTAATCTTTCATTTTGTGCCAATACTTTTCTTTTTTCCCCCCATCCTCACCCAGAGCCCTTACCTGTAATAAAAAATTTTCTGGTTTTATTGCTGTTTACAAACATATTTATTGTGCTGTACATAATATATAATTATTAATGTTATTACTATCATAATGCAGTTTGCTGTAAATGGTTGATTCTTATCATCCCTTTTGGTGATGGCGTGGCTGTATTATGTACCTCTTGTTGAGAGAATGTTTATTTACACATGAATTTCAGTGTAAAAAAAAAAAGAAAAACAACAAAAGAAAAAAACAAAACAAAAACGATCCATCGACATGTTGCTTAGCTGAGAAGTAGCTCAGTGAAGAGAGAGGGAAAGCCAAATTGTTTTTTTTTAAGAAAAAAAAGAAACTGTTCCTTGGCCCATGGGCTGTGCCTTAAATTCAACACGTCATTTACTTTTAGCCTTTTTATTTTTTGAATTCTCTAGTTCTCTTTTTGCTGCAGTGGTGAATCTTTTTGGCTTGGGTCGGCCCGATCTCCTGCTGAGAAAAGTTGCCTTTTCCACAATCACAGCCAAACACGGTTTGCTCTGTCTCGCAGCTACGGCGCTGCTTTGAAAATACGCCGTCGGTGCAGACGTGTGCGGAGACTCGGTTCGACCGCAAGCCTGAGATTTACCACATGAGTGATGTGTGGCCTATAGCCAGCCGGATGTCCCCAGAGTCGAGTTTGCTGTAGACCTGGTCTGAACAGCTCACACTTCCTTTACGCTCTGCCTCTACACTCACAGATGTGATTCAGCCTGTCAGGAGACGTGATGAGGGAGTCGCTTTTTTGGCTGCCGCATCACCTGCTTCTGCGTGGCTGTCTCGCAGCTACAGAAACACTGAATGGGGCGCAACAGTAGTGTATAGCTGTTGCTTGACTACGGCCCTACAAAGCACAGAGGCTTCGAGACACATCTGCATGTTCAGCCACTGCTGCATTAATTATGGCTGAAACACTGGCGGTGTGTTGCTTATCTATGCTCTGCCCGCACGACCACTCACATTACTTGCAATATCCAAAACCACTGACATCTCTCTGCCTGCACAGGAGAAGGGTTTATTATATTTGTGTAGTGAAGGGAGGGGTGGGGGTATGGGGTGGGATTCAAGGGGTTTGGGCGACTGCATCATTGTCCTGAAACATGGACTCTTATTTTGACACACATACTGTAGATTCTAAACAGCCCTGGACCAATGGAAATAGTGGGTTCTTTTCTCATTATGTGTTCTATTTTTTTATGGTATGAAAGGAGAATACAAACTGTAACTTTAAGACAAAAAAAAGAAGAAAAAAAAGGTCTTTGGGACAATTATATTTTGGGTTATGTCTTTAGAATGCCAACTTGTCTGGACGTTTCACAGGACAATTACAATTTTATTTTAATGGATTCCTTGTTAATTGCAGTCTATTGGATAGCACTGTAGATCATACAACTTTATGTAAAAAACAAATAAAAAGAATGAAAAAAGTTTTTATATGCAATGGATTAAATAAAAGCATGGGTTGATTCTGCCTAATCACTTCTTGCTTGGATTGTTTTTTAAGGTATTGGAGAATTGAGTCACAGTTTCCTCATAAAACAATCTCTTCATACCTACTTCAAAAGAATCAGGGTTCAGCAAGACCACTTGTTGAACTCTGAAGGTGTCTCATAAGGTGATTGAGGCATAAGTTTTGACACTTCAGCAGTGAAAAAATAGAAACTTTCTGCTGATATGAATATAAGCGGTGCCTTGAAATTGTGGCTTGCCCTTTGGTGTGCAAAATACTAAGGCAAACCACTGCTGTAGAGCACGTGTCTCTCAGCAATTATGAATGCACAAATTGCTTTGAAATGCTCAAGAGGAAGAGCCAAGACAAAGCAGCTGTACATCTGAGTGACATGATGTCTTTGAGGCAAAGACGTGGGTATTAGGGTAATTCGTGATTCTTAATTGGCCATAGGTGTGAAAGATCCCGTGCATCTATGCGTTAGCCCCGATAGACTGGCGGCCTGTCCGGGATGCGCACCAGAGTTTGCCCTGTGACAACAAGGATAGGCTTTGTGAGCAATTTAGGACAAACAACATTAGCATCTCATCAATGCAAATATCTAATAAGCCAATCACGTGGCAGCAATTTGGTGCATTTGGGTAGATACGTAGGTAGACATGGTCAAGATGACCTACTGAAGTTCAATTGGAGCATTAGAGTGGGGAAGAATGGTGATTTAAGCAACTTTTAACATGGCAGTATTTCAGAGGCTGCTGATCTACTATGATTTTTCCTCACAACCGTCTCTGGGGTTTACAGAGAACAGTCTGAAAAAGAAAAAATATCCAGTGAGCAGCAGTTCTCAGGGTGAAAATAACTCGTTGATGCCAGAGGTCAGAGTAGAATGGCCAGAATGCTTCGAGCTGATCAGAAGGCAACATTAAATAAATGAAAGACTAAACCAAAGTATGCACAAGAGAACAGGGAAAACACAACATGTTGAACACTAAAGCAGTTGGAACTGTCAACTAAGAACTGTCAAAAGTGTTAGACAGTGTGGTCTACAATTCACGCAGGCTCAGCAGATTAGGACAGCAGGAGACGAGTCTTAATTTCTCAATTTCTGCTGCAACGTTTGGATTGTAGAGTGAGCGATCGAACCTCCAACCAACCACCAAGCTACAGTCACCCCAAAGTACACCACAGCCTACCTAGAAAACTGTTTATGTAGCAAAGCTCAAATCATCTCAAACTGTTGTCTTAAAAATGACAACTGTACTCAAGTGGCTTCGACAGTCACTGGATCTAAATCCATCAGAGCGCCTTTGGGATGTGGTAGAAGGGGAGATTTGCATCATGGATGTGCAGTAACTGTCCGATGCGATCATGTCAATATGGACCAAAATCTCTAAAGAATGTTTTCAGCACTTTGTCATGAAGAATGAAGCAAAGCTTGACCCAATACTAACAAAGTGTACCTAATGAAATGTCTGGTGACTGTATACTTAAAGTAGCTTCACAATTGTGTTTTTATTGCACCTCCAATGGAGTTACAGTTAATAGTGTGTACCTATGACAATGCCTATCAGGTAAAACTATAGTAAAAAAGTAAATAAAACAATAAATGCAACATTTTCTACTCAAAATAAGTGCGATAAAAGTACAACGTTCAAATGTACAATATAGTCATAGTGGGTTCGACTCACCATAAATTCGTCACTTCCGCTCTGGTGCTAATCCAGCATCGTGTCACTAGGTGGCGCACTTTGCCTTAAAATGGGACCAGAGCAGTTTCACTGAAACATCAGGTGCGGGTTGGAGAGCAATCTTCACGCTTCACGAGTGAACAAAGAGTCACGAAGGACTTAAACGCCCGCAGATAGAATTGGATTTATTTCCTATAATCTCAAAAACATACTTCTTAGTCTGCTTGCACTCCAACAAATAAATATATTCAGTTATATGTAAAGACATAATATTTTAAAATGGCATTTTTACTCGAGTGACTGTTGGGCTGAGGCTAACCATCCCTCTATGAAATGAATGCGATCATTACAGTAATTTATTTCATGGCTACTGGCATCAAATCATAATGTCACACACATACACAGATGTGTACACGCAGGCGCTTTAAACTAGTTCATGTGTATTCCTATTCTTGGCATTAGTAAAACAGTATGGCATATGTCATGGACTAAGTTTTCTCCCTGACTATCTGTCACAACAACACTGCATTTTGACATGATAATACAAGTTCGGTCAACAACCAACAGTTAGCAGGAACAGCATATAGTATGTGAATACATTTGTACAAAAGGTATACACAAACAGTACACTATATTACGTAATTTGTCTCTTCAATATGGCAGGTACACGCACACATACACACTTACAGTCGCACATTCAGTTACTGAATGAAGCACATCCTCGGGTTTTACGAGTTATTCTGACCTACTGTCACTCACATACGGCAGCTGGGGTCATTGTACTCGAGGACGGGAGAAACTATGTACAGGGTATAATTCATAAAATATTGCACTTATTGGCCCATTGCATCTCACGGCGAACGCCATGACAATGCTCCTAAATCTGTAACACAGCGTGATATATACAGTATCTTATCATATAAATCTACACAGGTATATCAGGACTGACTTCATGCAATTGTTTAGAGCTTTTATTCAACTATGTGACAAACAACCGACGATGTGAAAAGAACTGTAATGTTTTGGCACAATTTATTTTCTTCTAAGACTAGCAGAACTGAAACTTTTCTGGCTTTTCAAACAACCTACAACATTTCTATTACATGGAATTACATTAAGACACTAGAGTACGGTATATGCCCGCTATGAGAAGTTTCCGTTTTTACATTGTTGTCAATTTTTTCAGAGGGTGGGGGTAGGATGGAGGACTTCATTTTATCATACAAACATGGAATTTAAGCATGCTGAGTCAAAACTTAAACATATTTTAATATATGGCTGTTTATTCCATGACAGAGCTGATCATTTGTTGTGTATCGCACACAGTGAGCTGTGCTTTGACAGTAAGAGATTTTTCCTTTAATGGAATGCTAAATCACTGTTTTCATATGGAGCAGGGGATGGTTAGGTTTGGGTAAGGCCTATCTTAAAATAAAACAGCACACATTATTGAGTTTTTGGCAGCATGCTCATTGGATCGAACTATAAAAGAGTGTCTTGGAGGCTAAGCACATGGAAATGGTTGCTTAAGATATACTTATTAGATATACTTAGAGGAATCACATCTACAGACAGCGGAGGGTGGAACAGTACTCACGTCAACGTTACACACACTCCAACAGTAAAACAGGACAGAGGGACTTACAGAGGCCGTATTGAAGATGCTAAAAGGCCACTTTTTTCCAAGGTAGATGATTTTAAGATGGCGAAGTTGCAGTCGGACATAATACTCGCATTCACGCAAACCCGCACTCACTTATTGTGCAGTCACACAACAGCCACACACACACACGCGTTACACAAAAGAAAGCCGCTACATCCTATAGTGCACTAAATCATAGATTTGGCAGCTTCAGGAACCTATAAAAGGAAAAAACATACTGTACAAAAACATAAAAAATAAAAAGCTTATTAAAGCACTCACTGACTATCCTTCAAGGTATTATCATCATTATTATAGCTTTTAAAGGTCTTAAGGATTAAGTGTACAGTGTGAACTATTTGCAGCCTATGAAACATACTTGGTTTGTAACCACACTAACTAGCCAAAGAATGAGAATATGGTGTCTGTGTATTCAAGTTATACTGTAATGTTATGCATCTTACAACAGCCACGTTTGTTTTCCTGGTTATTTGCTATTGATATAAGGTGATAAAGTTAAGAGATAATAGGACAGATTTTTGTAATTCTACTACTAAACGGGGTTTGAAGTGTAGTCCAGGGGAAAGCAGCACTATAGCAGGAGTGATAACGCTCAGGGAGAACAATTTTTTACCACCTTACAGGACCTGTGCTGCTCTCCTGCTCCTTGACATGGCTCACTAACAATTGCAGCCGGGCTGCTGGAGGGGTGGAGCGCTGTCTGTGAGTTTGGCAGTGGGCGCTCCCGTAGTGACAGCTGGATCAGCGTCCAAACTCTCAGACATCTTGTCGCAAATTAGGTCGACGAGACGCTCAAAGGTCTGCTTCACGTTGATGTTGTCCTTGGCGCTTGTCTCAAAAAACTCGAAACCTTGGGATCAGAACGTAGAAATGACCGATTAATGATCACAAGATAAATGTGGGGTGTTTTTGTTTGTTTAGAACAACCTTGACTGTCTGTACAAAACAAATAAATGTCAAAGGTCTTTCTGCAAAAACCAGACTGTGATGCAACCCAGTTTTAAAAACACCAAGTGCTGAATGTTGCTCTGAGACCCACCCAACTGCTCCGCCAGCAGTCTGCCATTATCCACCGAGACCACTCTCTCTTCTTCCATATCACACTTATTCCCAGCCAGCACCACCTGCGCGTTATCCCACGAGTAGGTTTTTATCTGGGTTGACCTGCACGTAATCAGAAAGAAAACACAACAAAAATACATCACATTCACATTAGTGCTGTTTGCCGGGTTTCTCAGAAAGTGCTAGAAACAGATTCTGTGCCACTTTTTTATTGGACCGGAAGAAAGGGCAAGATGTAAATCTGTCCACCATTTGGGTCGGTCATGAACAGTGATTGCATCTCCTTTTGTTTGGCATCATGTCATATCTGAGTCACTGATGGCATTGCGGAAAAGTGGGTCAGTGGCAGCTCTGTTCTGAAAATTCGTAGTCACTGTTGCTGTAATGTAGGTGATTATTTGCTATTTTTTAGATATTTACAATTTATATTTAGATAGCTATAAAGCTTTTTGGCTTTAGTCACAAACACACACACACGGGAAACACTGGATTCCATTGTTAAAATAGTTTTGTGAACTGTGTCAAGTGTTAATATCATTACATGCTAATAACGACATCCACATGAACAAGGATTTCACAGCAAATCAGTGAGCTGCTTGAATGGCTCTTACCT